TGCATACAATCATGTAATCCAGGAGACTAAACATGAGTAAGTGGTTTCAAGAGAGTAGCATTTATTATATCTAGAAAACAGCTTTTTAAATTTAGTTACACAATGCTATGAAAGGAACCGGTACTGTTGCTTCTCACTTTTCAGGGATATTCATGAATATAGCTTTATATCTGGGCAAAAACTTGTTGAATTCAATATATTCTCACAGGAGTTAAGGGGGTTTTGCTCACTACAGAAATTTATCCTTCATGTTTAGTTCTTTGAAATAATTGTCTATGCTGTACTAGTTGTTGTATTCATTTCAATGACTTTACACTGCAAAATGTATAGGAAAGGTTACTCTGAATATGTCTTATGGGTTTTTTAAACTTTGGAGAAACAATTTCCCAATTGATATAGATAATCATTCATTTTTATTGATAAAAAACAAATTCAGCATAGAGTAAGTACAATGACAGAACTCTAGTTCAGATGTAACAGCCTTAGATTACTGAACCGTAAACTAGGAACAATTGTGCCACTTGCTTCGTTCCTCTTTGTTTTGGATCCTGATTTATAGTCCAAAATTAAACCACATCTCCTGACTCAGTTGTTGCAGCAAGGAATGGTTTTCAATCCCAGGTTCTGGTTCTTTAGAAAAGGGAAGAAAGAAATGAAGGAAGAAAGAGGAGAGTGTCTGAACCAGCTCAGAGATTTATTCTCAGTGTAGTCCTTTACATTTTTTTCAGTGGAGCTTACTCTCAGCTTTATTGGGATTTGCAATTTTGTGTTTATTTTGCTGCTGCAGTGTGGCATTACCTTTGCACATTAAATGGTATAGGTAGCAAATAGCAATATGCATACAAGCAGCAGCAAATGAGCCATAACTTTAGCATTTTGCCCCAGGGATCAGATCTTCCATGAAGACTGTGAATTATTTCATTATAAATATCTTTAGGATTACTATCTTTGACCAGTATTGTGAATGCGGAAGTGTCTTTAGTTAACAGCATTTTCTATTTCCTGCTCCCAGTGTAATGATGAAACTGGGAACCTGCGGCTCTCTCTCACTGGGAGATGAATGAATGAGGCACCCATCCCCACCACTCCCTTTTCTTTTGTGCAAAGAGGATGAATGCATAACCACTTTGAATCCGTAGTATAATCTTGAAACGAGATGGCAAGCGAAGGAAACTAAACTCAGTCAATTCAGACCAAATGAATCAAAGTTACTGTCTCTAAAAAGGTCTGTGCAAATGACTGTCTGAGCAGACAACAAATTGCTTGATTGCTTCCATTCAGGTGGGATTGCTTCATTCAGGCCTACTGTTTGGATGAATAAACGCATATTTTGGAGTGCCTCTGATATGATAAACAGCTTGGCTATATGTGAGCCCTGTCTTAATAATGTGGCTGGCTTTAGAGATTCTATGGGACAAACATTTCTGAACTGCAATAATGCTTCATCTAATATTCAATTACCTACATTTCTTTCATATGTTACCTTTGGTGTGACATCTAACTCAAATAGATTGCTCATTGTCCCTTGAATACATTACGTGCTACTCAGTCTGCCCTGCAGCGCTGTACTTACATGAGCTGTGTGTTTATTTAGCAGCACAGGCTGCTTGGAAAATATTCAGAGTCTACTCTTGTCTCACTCATTACCTTGAAAAGTAATTATGCAAATATCTTCCTATGGGTTTTATTTATTTATTTATTTACAAACAGTTCACAATTTCAATTTCAGGGAAGGCATCAAAACCTCCTCAAACATACACCAACATATCCAAAAGATATGAAGTAGAGTAACCATCCCTACTGAAATCGAGCAGCTAGTGATAGATAAGGGGAAAAATGTCCACCTTCTACCTTGACTCTTTATTGAGGAAGGGAGTGCAATAAATTAAGCCATAGGCAACAAAACACTATAGGAACGAGCCTTGCTTGCACAAGACAGTTGCTGAATTGTGGGTGCGCAATTTGACATTTTCTCTCTTCCTTTTTTTTCCTTAGAAAAAGCAAACCGGGCAGAAATAGAGGGGATGAGGGGATGAGTAAAGACCAACTAAGATGAAAGTACGTTTTCCTCAGAATACCACATTTACAGGGCCAGGTAAGTAGGTTCAGGGTTGTAAATCATCAATTATTTAATTCTCAATGAACGGTTTCAAAACTATTCACATGGCAGGGTGAGATGATGAGAGAATGTATGCTTTTTGTTTGTTTGTATTTTGTTTGTTTTTATTGGCCTTTCCTACAAATCCCCTATATTTTGTGCTGAAATCTTGTATTCTGCACAGGACACCTTGCACTCCTTGCTGAAGGTACTTTTTTTTCTGCACAAAGTACAAATTCTCTCACACACCCCATGTTTGAAGCAACCACTTGAATGACTTCTCAAATTATCTCCATAGGTGGTAGTGATGGTAGGAGGGTCATTCAGAAAAGTGAGTCATCTAGCTGGACAGCAAAATACTAGGAACAGATAGATTTTCATCATCAGCTTTTAACATACCAGTCAATACCTGATTAGGATTAGGAATGAAAAAATCTGCCCTCTTTGCTTTTCTAATTTATTTATTTATTTAATTTTTGAACGTCTCATGCTCTTTCCACTCCTTTTAGGAGATATTAATAAATCCTTTTTTAAAATGAGCTAAGAGAAATGCTCTTCCTTCTGCAACAGCCAAATTTAATCTGTGTTCTTATCCTCAGCATGGAAATTTCAGGTGGTTGTGCTATAGCTCATAAGGTTTAGCACGAAAAGCAAGATGTGGCAATTTTGATTTAACACCACAAATGTGATTAAATACACAGGAATTTGAACCGGGATATTTATGTGCTTTTGTTTCTGTTCATGGGGTTTTCTAGGCAAAGATACTGGAGTGGCTTGCCATTTCCTGCTCCAGGTGGATCATGTTTAGTCAGAACTCTCCACTCTAACCTGTCTGTCTTGGGTGTCCCTGCACGGCATAGCCCATAGCTTCTATGAATTACTCAAGCTCCTTCGCCACGACAAGACAGCAATCCGTGAAGGGGAGAAAGCCAGAGATTCAAGAATAGCATCTACTTCTGCTTCATTGACTACGCAAAAGCTTTTGACTGTGTGGACCATGACAAACTATGGCAAGTTCTTAAAGAAATGGGAATGCTTGACCACCTTATATATCGCCAGAAAAATCTATATGTGGGGCAGGAAGCAACAGTTAGAACTGGATATGGAACAACCGATTAGTTCAAAATTGGGAAAGGCGTACGACAAGGCTGTATATTGTCTCCTTGCTTATTTAACTTATTTGCACAATACATCATGTGAAAGGCTGGACTGGATGAATCCCAAGCCGGAATTACGATTGCTGGAAGAAATATCAACAACCTCAGATATGCAATGATACCACTCTGGTGGCAGAAAGTGAGGAGAAATTAAAGAACCTCTTAATGAGGATGAAAGGAGAGCGCAAAAATGGTTTAAAGCTCAACATAAAAAAATGAAGATCATGGCAACTGGTCCCATCACCTCCTGGCAAATCGAAGGGGAAGATATGGAGGCAGTGACAGATTTGACTTTCTGTAGCTCCATGATCAAGTTTGGCCTTGGAGTTCAAAATGAAGCAGGGCAAAGGCTAATAGAGTTTTGTCAACAGAACATGCTGGTCATCACAAACACTCTTTTCCAACAACACAAGAGGTGACTCTACACATGGAAATCACTACATGGGCAATACCATAATCAGACTGATTATATTATATGCAGCCAAAGATGGAGAAGCTCTATACAGTCAGCAAAAACAAGACCTGGAGGTGACTGTAGCTCTGATCATCAACTTCTCTTAGCAAAATTCAAGCTTAAACTGAGGAGAGTAGGAAAAACCACTGGTCTAGTCAGGTATAATCTAAACCAAATCCCTTATGAATACACAGTGGAAGTGAAGAACAGATTTAAGGAACTAGATTTGGTGCACAGAGTGCCTGAAGAACTTTGGATAGAGGCTTGTTACATTGTGCAGGAGGCAGCAACAAAACACATCTCAAAGAATAGGAAATGCAAGAAAGCAAAGCGGCTGTCCAACGCAAGTCAAAGGCTTTTGCATAGTCAATGAAGCAGAAGTACGTAGATGTTTTTCTGGAACTCTCTGGCTTTCTCCATAATCCAGCGCATGTTAGCAGTTTGGTCTCTAGTTCCTCTGCCTCTTCGGAATCCAGCTTGTACTTCTGGGAGTTCTCGGTCCACATATTGCTGAAGCCTACCTTGTACAGTTTTGAGCATAACCTTGCTAGCGTGTGAAATGAGTGCAACTGTAAGGTAGTTGGAGCATTCTTTGGCACTCTCCATCTTTGGGATTGGGATGTAGACTGATCTTTTCCAATCCTCTGGCCACTGCTGAGTTTTCCAAACTTGCTGGCATATTGAGTGTAGCACCTTAACAGCATCATCCTTTAGGATTTTAAATAGTTCGACTGGAATGCCATCACCTCCACTGGCCTTGTTGCTATCCAGGCTTTCTAAGGCCCACTTGACTTCACTCTTCAGAATGTCTGGCTCAAGGTCAGCAGCCACACTATCTGTGTTGTCCGGGATATCCAAATCTTTCTGGTATAATATCTCTGGGTATTCTTGCCACCTCTTCTTGATGCTTTCTGTTTCTGTGAGGTCCCTAACAGAATTCTGTGTAGTCTGTGTAGTAATTTGGACTAAAGAATCTCCAAGCCAGTGTGGTCACCTTGGTAAGCTAAAGACCAAAAAAAATCACTTTCCCAAGCTCTGATTTAAAGTCTGCATAGATCTGCAATCACAAACTCATGTTAGGGCTGAGAGAAAGTGGTTTCTAAGGATGTAACAAATTCCAATAATGAAAATGTTTTACCTCATATTCTTTTGAAGGATTGCTACACCTCAAAGTTGGCTTCACAGATTTTTCATCATATGTTTCATGTACACTGCAGTGTTTTCCTCTGGTGTCAGGGAACATTTAGAACAAATAAAATAAAAGACAAGAGCTGAGACTGTAATTTGCTGGGGATCTTTATTCTGACGTGTTTGCTCTCAGATTACATATTGCTAGCTAGCTTCAGTTTACAAAAAGAAAAAAATAAGGAAAAGGAAAGTGGTAAAATATAATTGCTTTCTCTCCAGTGGCTTATTTCTCTGTCTTCTTTTATATTTGTATATATCTATATAAATAAAGTTGGTTAGCTTAAAAGTTGGTTAGGTTATGGATGGTTTTTGGAAAGCAGCCTGAACATGTCGCAGCAGTCCCCATCTACCTTTCACTTTTGCACGCACATCTGGAGTCACCACCTAGCAGGAAACAAAAAAAGTAGTCTTAACTAGGTGCTAGGAACATAAATAGTAACTGTGTGTGGCAGATGTCTCAAGGAGCAGATTAGGAAATAATGTAACGGATGCATTTAAATAAGAGTCATGGTATACTTCCCACTGAAGCTATTAGTGAAGAATTCAAAGGAGAAAATGTCAGAAGATAATGGAAGATTTGGCCTTACCTATACAACATGGCATGTGTAGAGCAGAGGTTCAGAAGCAATGTTTTCTTGGTTGCTGTTTGCACCCATATGCAGAGGCTAAGCTTCAGTGGGCAACACATTTACACTGAGATTGCTGATCTATATTTACATAGAAAATGGCAACAGCATCTGACATGTGGGATTTCAGTTGATCCTATAGGCAGAACTTACTTTTTGGGATACAGCTCCCAAATCAGTAAATGCTCAAAGCTCATCTTTCAGGACTTTTATTTTAGTTTCTTATGTGTAGTTTATACTCTGAATATTCTTTCTAATTCTGTTCCCAGAGACATCTGGTTACCGAACTAATTGAAACAGGCCATTACTCTGTGTAAGATCTTTGGTCTGATTTGTCAAAAGTTGAACATTTTTGTCCTTACTTTGAAGGCTGCGATTAGGGATGGGACTTTCAGAAAAAATGAGCTCCCAGTCCCCTAATTCTGTAGGACTAAGCCCCCAGGCAAATTATGTGAGCGGGAGCCTTCAAACAGCAAATGTTAGAGCACTAATTCTGTGGGAATAAGCCCCCAGGCAAATTATGTGAGTGGGAGCCTTCAAACAGCAAATGTTAGAGCAGCCTTCTTACATCCATGTTGTTCCCATGTTTCTTCTTCACACCCTCTACAACAGTGGTTTTTAAAAATTTCTTGCACTACAAATTCCAGAATTCTCTACTCTGGGAGTTCTACCTCACTGCCTGCCAGTAAAACTTAGAAAATTATGGGATATATTGTCCAAGAAATCTCAAAAGTCCATCCTTAATTATACAGGCACACCAGTCCATGTAAAATCAGCATGAATTATATGTGATATGAAATATGAATTCTATTTCACTCCCATGAAAAACAATATGATAAATGATATGAATTTAATTTTTTTATCAATCAACATATATTTTGAAAAGTGGGTTAACAAAAAAAATCAATGACTTTGATACATTTTGTGGGTGTTTTTAATGATATAATGTGGTGTGGATTTTGATTTGAAATGGCTTAGCAATAAAAGTGTACTAAACTAACAGATCTCTATGTTTTCAACAAAATGAATAAGTACCAGAAAAAGACTGGACAACTATTGGCCAGTTTCCAGCGCTCCAATTTCAGGCAAAGTGCTAAAGTATGTGATAGCCTCTCAGCTCCATGGATTATCTAGATCCATTTCAATCTGAGCCAGTTTCCAACTTTCCAATTTCAGGCAAGGTGCTAAAGTATGTGACAGCCTCTCAGCTCCATGGATTACCTAGATCCATTTCAATCTGGCTTCAGGCCTAGTTACAGAACAGAGATGGCTGTCTTGGTGGATGACCTATATTGGGAATTGGATCGGACAGTGTGTCTCTCTTGGTTCTGCTGGGCCTCTCAACAGTGTTCAGTACCAATGACCGTGGTATCCTTCTGGAGTGCCTTTCTGGGATGGGTTTTGGAGGTACTGTCTTACAGTGGTTCCAATCCTTTGTGTTCACCAAGCCCAAAAAATGCATTGAGGGAATCTTGTTTGACAACCTCACCATTGGTCTGTGAGGGTTCACAGGGTTCAATTCTGTCCCCCATGTTATTCAACATCTACATGAAACCTCTGGGAGAGATTGTAGGGAGTTTGGGCTTAGTACCATCAGGATCCTGATGACACACAACTTTATCTCTACTTCCAACTTGTCTCTATGGTAGCTGTTCTGTGCTTAGACTAGTGCCTGTTGTCAGTAATGGACTGGATGATGGCTAACAAACTGAAACGTAATCTAGACAAGATAGAGATGCACATGGTCAGTCACAACGCAAATCAGGGGAAGGGATTAATCCTGTACTAGATGGGATTACACTCCCCCTGAAAGCCAGGTTCACATCTTGGTTGTGCTCCTGGACTCAACTCTGTGCCCATTCCTCAATATGGCTGATCTGGCCATGGTGACACATGGCTTTATTACATTCTGTTTTTATTACTGCAACATGCTCTATGCTGGGCTGCCTTTGAAGAGTGTTCAGAAACTTCAGCTGGTTCAAAATGCTGTAGCCAGACTGTTGACCTACACTGGTTATAGGGAGCATGTAATTCCCTTATTACAACAGCTTCACTGGCTGCCAGTCTGTTTCTAGGCCCAATTCAAAGTCCTGATTATTACCTATAAATTCTTGTGCAGCTTGGGTCCCGATAATTTGAAGGATTGTATTACCTCATATGAGCCTTCTCACCTTTTAAGATATGCTGCAGAAGTCCTTCTCTCTATTCCACCACCTTTCCAAGCTTCATTGCAAGCTTCTTTGGTGAGGCCATGAGAGAAAGGACCTTTTCAGTAGCTACTTCCAGACTTTAGTATACACTCTACAGAGATGCCAGGTTGCTCCCTCTCTATTGTCCTTCCATTGTCAAGCAAAGACCTTTTTTTTCAGGCAAGCTTTTAATAATAAGTGTCTTGGGGATGCTTTGTGTATTGATTTACTGGGTTTGAATTTTTTTAATGTTTAGAAATATTTTGAATCTTCACCAATGTTTAATTGTTTATTTTAAATGTATAGTTTTAATGGTATTTTAGCTTGTTATTACTGTATGATTTTAATTGTTGTGAGCCACCTTGGGTCCCCTATGGGGAGAAAGGCAGCATATAAACCCAGCACAACAAAACAGAAGAAAACAACAGTGAAGATAAAAAAAAAAAGCAGGAGAATTGCCTTGAGTGTATCATAGATAACAGCATGAAATGGGATTCTAAAGTAATATAATATATTGCAATAATAGGTTATCAAACCTATGCTGAATAACTTTATATTTTCTTTTGACAACAGAATATATGTTTTCAAGATAGAAAATGAAATGTTGGCTTCCCTGATAAATCCTGAGAGAAAGAACCCACACAATAGTGTTCTGCTGCTGCCAAATATTGTCCCAGCCTCTGCAGTTTAAGACCTAAAGCACAGTCAGAAACTCAATATTGCTGAAGGGGAAAAGGGGAAAAAAGAAAACAAAAGAAACCCAGGGGATGGTGACACTCGGAAAAAGCATCCAGAAAGGTTAAGCAACCCAATAATATCTGAGCAGGGGCAGTCAGTAGTAAAAAGTTAGAGATGTCCAGCGACTGTATTTTTCCAGGTTTGTAACATGTCTTGTCATCTGGGTGCTGGCCACTGTTTTATGTAAGTATAATTGATTGGCCCCACCCCACTTTATACTACTTCTACTCCATAGTGCTAAGTTCCAAGAGTGCATTTCCAGCACACTTGATTTACTGTTGCAGCAGAAAGGAAAGGGTGAGAAAGAAAGGGAGGTAGGCAGTAAGATCCCTTTCCAGCTTTAGCAGAGGACTGGCAAGGCAAGCTGATTGATGGAGGAAGAACTGGAGAGTTGAGGACTTACAGGATGAAAGGTGCATTTTTGGAGGTCTGAGGGCTAGAAGTTCAAAGTAGGAGAAGAGAGGGAGGAACTGAGCTCCTCTCTAGTTCTTTTAATAAGCTGCAATCTTTTGATTTCACATTTCAGATAAATATATGCAAAGTGCATGATGACTTTTGCAAAGTTAAAAAAAATACTGAAAATAATTCTGAAAAGTAAGAGTTCCATTTAGCTACCTAATCACATGTAGCTGATATTTTGAGACACCTGGCCCTTGATTTCTCCAGGATCACAGTGAGATTTTTTAGAAATGTTTGTTTTTCTTATCCACTGTATGACTTTCAATCTGAAACCTGAAAACATGACTTACATTAAAGCACTGGTTCTTAACCTTGGGTTACTCAGGAGTTTTGGACTGCAACTCCCAGAAGCCTTCACCACCAACTGTGCTGGCTGGGGTTTCTGGGAATTACAGTTCAAAAACATCCGAGTAACAAAGGTTAAGAACCACTGCATAAAGCAGTGGTTCTTAACCTTTGTTACTCGGATGTTTTTGAACTGTAATTCCCAGAAACCCCAGCCAGCACAGTTGGTGGTGAAGGCTTCTGGGAGTTGCAGTCCAAAACTCCTGAGTAACCCAAGGTTAAGAACCAGTACATTAAAGCATGTGCTACATAATCTATGGTAGAGAGGTGAGTTCCCAATTCAGCTAGCAAAATCATTTATGGAAAAAGAGAAATAGCTTATTTTAAATACCATTATTGCCTTTCTATGCCTGCCTTAGCCTAGCAGAAAAGTAGAAGCATGGCAGATAAAATTGTACCTTACAAATTTCACTCCATTCGCCTGGCCCATTCTCATTGACAGCTCGAACTTTAAAGAGATATTCTGTATTAGGTGTCAGGTTATGTACTTCCAGATTCTGTTGTACAATCCCAGTAAGTACACCTATCAATTGTGGCTGGACTAAATTCTCAACTGCGTCTTCTTCAACTACTTCATAATAAGCAACTTCAAAGCTCTCTACTTCTTCTGTAGGACAAGTCCAGTAAATCTAAGAAATAAAGATATATCAATGCAGCACTAAAGTTAACATAAAAATAACTGGTTGCTAATTTTAAAAATCTCAACAATAAATATTTTCAGATTCTTTTTTTCAAAAAGCAGTTTCTCTGTAGGGGGAGGACATGTATCATGAAGCAGATATTTTGGAGCTCTGAGAACATTCTCAGATTTTGACTCTATGAAGTTCACAAGCAAGTTATTTCAGGTTTTGTAGCTCCATTATCATGTCTATCAGTCATATAACTGACCTTTCATCATTCAGTTGCTCTTGGCTGGAACCGTGTTGAGTAGCAAAGAAAGATGGTCTTGTGGGGATTTATGGATAGGAAAGACTGAACACATTGCACCATAATGCCGAGAAAGCATCAGCTGCCCCTTAACAATATAGTAATGATGACGAACATAATTCATCATTAGTAATGGTGCTGTGGACACTAACCAGGAAGGACCTATTCAGTGGTCATATTCTTGCTAAATTCCTATGTAAGATGGTTAAGAAATTAGAATAAAATTGAAATTTCAATAAGCAAAAATTGGGCAATGAAATGGCACTTTTTTCCTTCCCTCCTTCCTTTTTCTGAAGACCCTTGGAAGTATTCGCAGCAACACCTCTTCTCTCTCTGGGTGTGTACCTCAAAATTCAAATTCTTTCCACACTCTCAGAATCCCTGAGCCCTTTTTTTCCACCTGTGGTGAATTGGGGTGGCATTTTGCATGGTTTTTAGTGAGACAATCACCTCCAGGATTTATTCCCTCAATCTTGGGGAATCCTCAGGGAAGAAATTAGCATTTCATAAGAATTCTTCAAAACTTCTCTGCACTGTTCTTAATAAACATAAGCTCACTGCCATGCTAGATGATATCTACCAGGAAGTTTTTGTTTACATTTTTGGGATGCTGAGGAAAGCATCCCATCAATACCTCTTAAACCAGAAAATTGCTCTAGGGGGAGGGCAGATTCTGTGATTGTGGAACTCTGTGTTTACTGCTGGAGTTCTCCTGGTGAAAGCCAGCTGTGGCCATCTTTCCAACAACTCCTTAGAGGCAATCATTAGGATGACACTATCTCACACCTTTGAGTTTTTCTGTACAAATGTGGGGATGCGGGAGTTGAGGGCCAATCCAATCACTAAGCAGGACAAAGTGACTGCCTCAAGCAGAAGCTTGGGGTTTCATGAATATGAAGAAAAATAGTAATTATATAATTTGTTATTATTGTATTTTTAATGGCCTGGAATGAGAGTTGGTGCTTGAGATTTTCTGCTTTGTGTGCCAAAAATAAATTGGCTGGGTTGACCATGCTACACATCTTGGTTTAAATGCTTAGATTGTGAACCACTCGCATGGTCATAAGCATTTCTAACCACTGAAGCTGTCTTGAGTCATGAATCAGAACTGAGAAGTAACCAAAAGTGTGTACATGTTCTGTTAGATGTTACCCCATCCAGAACAAGTGTTCCTTGGTGATAGAATTGACCATTATGTAGCCTTTTGCATATTTTAATATAATATTCCAAATATTATAACCTTCCAATGTTAATTGCACTATACCAGACTGATTATGCCTGCATGAATCAATACAACTCATTTTTCCTTTTACACTGGATTGAGACTTTCTATGAACAGAGGTCCACTTAAGCAATGCTCTAGCCAGTGGAAGTGAGAAAATATGTTTGCAACTGCCCCCCTGCACTTGTACCATCTGAAAAAGCTTCTCTAGAGACTGGAAGGAGGGGGAGAACCATTCAGAACAGTACAGGATATGAGGCAGGGGAAAGTAGAGTAAGTAAAAATTACTTTCCAATGGGAGCTTCTGCTAAATAAGAAACCCTTCCACACATGGCAGAAACCCTTCCATCTATGGAAGAGCATGTCTGGGTCTAGCCCTTATCTACACGGTTATTTCATTCATATCTTGCTGATTGCTGTGACAAGAAGCTGTGGAGAACAATGTCCAAAGACTGAAGCAAAACAACCTCCTAGACAAAAAATTTCGAATTCATAAATTGTTTTACAAATATTCTTACCTTAGCAACAGTTGGATAGACAAGTGTTTGGTAAACAACAACAAGGCCAGGAACAGAAGAAGATGGTTCTCCAAGTACTTCTGGATTGTAATAGAGACCATGACTTTGATTACTCAGTTCATTTCTCGCAGTACCCGAGGATGCATGCCAAACTGCATACATGCCATTATTTTTCATTTTAGATGGCGGTGATGATTTTGGTCTAAGAGACAGTTCATTGTTCATCATAGCTGGATCATCGAATGAAGTAAAAGATGATAAAGACTGACTTCGATTCAACCCTAATGGGTTAGGAATATGTGCACTGGAAATGTTCCTTGGAATCATCACGTCAGAACTACAAGGGTAAGGACATTTGGTTATTTTGTCATAGCGCAGCTTATTTACAAGTGATGGGAAAATGCTTTGCAAGTTTTCTGCAAGTTCTTCAAAGTTCACTTTAAGATATTTAATAGGGTCTTCCCTGAGATGTGGGCTTGGTTGGTAAATGTTTGCAATGGAATCTTCAATTTCATTTACCAAACAATTTGCAGACTGCAGAAATGCAATGTGGCTGCTTTCCTTTAAAGCTTCCTTAGAATATTGCATGAGACTGTCCATCTGGTCAATTCTCCTTGTTGTATATGCTGCATATTCATGAAGTGCCTTCTGTTTTTGAAGCTCAAGGTTTTCTACTGCCTCCATCAACTCTTTCTCTCTTTCTTGAAGTATGATCCGTAACTTGATGAAGCCATTCCTGATCTCTTTCCTTTTTGTTTCTTTATAGGACTTAAAATTGTTTCTTAGTACAAGGACTTCCATTAGATCATTATCAATTATATATCGTACTGCAAATACAAAATAAAAATACCATGTAATAGTTGCACTACTGTTCATTTGAAACATGATCTACTCATTTATAAACTAATACAGAGGGGTAAACATGAGCTGATCACATTTAGAGTACTAGAGAGTTTGCAATCCAAGGTAACTCATGAAGGTGTGACTTTGCTAGAATTCACAGAAATTTACAAACTGCTGCTGGCATCATGTTATTAATCAGAAACTGAATTTGCAGCTACTCCTCTGTGAGGAGCTCCTAGGAAATAGGGAAAAATTGGATATGATGTTGACAATCTGAACTCTCAGAGTATTTTAAAAAGAGGAATAGATCAAATTACCCCATGCTTATTTCTCCTATGTGAATACCCTGATGATGACCTGAACTTTCTCAAAAGAATTCCCTGAAAAATAACTGAGTTCTTTTTTATCTTTGTTCACTTGCTTAGGAAAAGCGTTTTACCTTGCAATTTTTTTTTTTTAAAAAGATCTTCACTATATTTGGATTGCATCTACCCCTCCACCATCCAGATGCTCACAGAATGGGCAAGAGTGAGACAATACTGTACTGAGTTGTTGTGACTGGTCCATAATGGTGGTCAGACTGCCAAAACAACTGCTGCTTCAACCAATTGTAGAATCAGGCAGGGCGAAGTAGTGGGGGACAGTTATTCTGCTGCCACTGCAACAGGTGAGCTCTGCCCTGAAGAACTTGGGAGAAAATTTCTTCTCCCTCCCAAACCAACAAACAGAAAAATTTGGTAAAATAGATCCCCAGTTTGTCTGCTGACCAACAGACTGGAATTTCAAGTGACCAGAGTTTCTATTTACTTTGCAAGGGAATACATGCATACTTCAATGTCCACCCCTGGTAGCATGAGAGAATTTTAAGAAACATTTAGCTCTCACTTAGCAACATTGCTCTACTATTGCTCTACTAAGGGACATGGTGGCACTACGGGCTAAACCGCAGAAGCCTGTGCTGCAGGGTCAGAAGACCAGCAGTCATAAGACTGTATTCATGAGACGGAGTGAGCTCCCATTGCTTTGTCCCAGCTCACTCGCCAGCCTAGCAGTTCAAAAGCATGCAGATGCGAGTAGATAAATAGGTACCACCTTGGTGGGAAGGCAAACAGCGTTCCATGTATAGCCGTGCTGGCCACGTGACAACGGAACTGTCTTTGGACAAACGCTGGCTCTACAGCTTGGAAACGGGGATGAGCACCGCCCCCTAGAGTTGGGCACAACTGACTAAATGTCAAGAGGAACCTTTACCTTTACCTTTAGCAACATTGCTCTACTATTCCTTCATGACGTTTACACGCTGGTCAGGGGAGGGAGTCTTTTGGTACTTTAAGTTGCCCAAAATTTTAAATGCTACTGTACCAAAGCATATTGCCAGTACTGGCCAGAATACTGTTAGTGTGTTAAACTGAACTAAGTGCAATGACATTACAAATTGCCACTTGCCACCCTAATCTAACTCCCATGATTCAGGCATATGATGATGGATTCAAGCTTCCTTTTCAAATAGCACAAGTTTACTGCTGCAGTTTACATAGTAGCACTTAAATCAGAATAAATAACCAAAGGATTCTGGTTACTTTTTCACCTTCCAAGCCAACCTCATAGTAATCTTCATTTATCAGTTGTATTCTGCTGTTCAAGAAACCCAAATCAGTTTTCATGGGCATATAGCTAACCCACTTTAAGTTCATCACAGTCTGGTAAAGTAAGCTGAGAAATAGGTTTCCCCGACCTCAGAGTGAGCTTTTTATCTTTACGGGTGTTTGAAACTCATTGTCATTGCACTACACTGCTAGATCTTGTGACAAACCCAGACCTACTGTCAGAATCTACCAAGTTGTTGCTATATTTACTCAGAGACTAGAGTAGAAAGTGCTCATGTGTTTAGTATTGTACTTTCAAAGTATCTAATAATGAATCAAGTGAAAAGAAAAAAAATTAAATACAAACAGGAACCTTTTTTAAACTTTGCTATAGCAGAGAATAATGCAGCAGCCATTTTCGAACATGCCATTGGCAAAGTAACGGTGTTATGATCACTGTGCTGTGAATCACAGCAATATTCACAAACCAGTTCATGGTCATCAAGGCAGTATTTGGAAAGCAATGAATCACCATGGATCACACAGTTTGTTTCTTCCCAGACTTCATCACCGATTTTGGCATATACGTGGTTTTGAAAGGTGACATCCTGATGGAGATTCCTCAAGCAAATGTTACAGTAATTCAGTTGACATGTTACACATCTCTTGGTGGCCCTGCGCTGCTCATCACAAACTTGGCAATAGACTGGTAAATGGCTTCTGTCAAACCGCCACCGTAGGAAACCATGTTGGCGCATATACTTCCTAGCCAATCTGGCTCTTAGGTAATTAACCCTGAGCTGTATTTTCCGAGCAAATGGGAGGCAATGTGCTTTGCTGCAAGTTGGACATGTGATGATAAAGAAATTCTCCGTGATCTCCGCCTCAGCTTGACTTCTCAGTATGCACCTATCACAAATACAGTGATTACATGGCAGCATAAATGGGCGAGTAAACAACCTCTGACACAGAGGGCAAACGAGCTGGTCAACAAAAGCGTGTGGTGAGACATCCCTGTCCAGTGAAACGACAGTTGTGTCACTTCCAATTCTGCGTCTAGGTATAAGGAAAAAAATTAAAAATATTTATCAGTGATAGATAGTGATTCCAACAATGCTTGCAGTTTCATTATTGCCGCACGAGAGTGCAGCAATAAATGTTGTGCATTAGAATAAATCAGCGTTTCATAAGGCAACTCAAAACATGGGAGTACCCCAAACAAAAAATTATAACTTTGAAACAATCTGGTCTTGTCCAGTGTCAAATTTAGAAATGTTTGGGCAAATGGTTTTCAAGTTATGGTTTTATAAAAGTAAAATGGTTTTAAACACACACATCAGGCAGACACTGGCAACGTTTTCTGTCTGCAGATTTAAAACAGCTCAAATACATTTTTTAAACCAAAACTGATTATCTTGAAAGAGAATAGCTAGTCCCAGCCCCCATTTTATTTATGATTATTATTTAGAATGGCAGGGGAGTTTAAACTAAATCCGAGAAAAGCAATTTTAAAGGAGAAAATCTTTGACTTTCTGACTCTCTTATCAACACTAAAATTCTAAGCATAAACAATGATGCAAGTTAGAAAAGTGAGATCTGAACTTTTGACCCAGCCAGTCAGGACCAAATTAAATGACTTTCAGGAGGAGAACTTTTTAACTCCTTCCTGACCAAACAGAAGTTAAAAATAATTTCTATTTCTGGGTTAAAAGCATTTTAAAAGATATTTTTAAAAATAGAGACTCAATATTCAGAAGCTCACTAATTTAAGTTAGGAAATTACTGTTTTTTGCTTTGTGGCTGGGCGTGGTCTTACATAGCTTTGATGCCTATTCCACCCATCTTGTCATTATACCATTGTTTGGTAATTAAGGAAGAAAACCTCCAAAGAGGCTATGTGCCATCCGGTCACTGCTGATGTGTGCTGCCTATATGAGTTACTGACTTCAAACATGTTCTCTTCCTAATGCCCCCCTCTTTCTAAGAATACTGTATTATAAGTTCTGCTCAGGTCTTGCAAATTAACAGCTGTGGTTTCCTCTACTGATTCAACCTACTTCATGTTAGGTTTTCCTCTTTTCCTACTTCTCCATCTCACTTTTCCCAGCAATATAGTATATACTGGTCATTTTTGTATTTCAAATATATGTGCATGGTAGGATAGGCTCAGGTTACTCATTTTTGCTCTAGTGAGACTTCAGGCTGGACTGGATTGAGCACCCACTTTCCTGATTTTCTGGCTGTATTTCAAATTTGTATGGTATTCTTTAAATTCCACATTTAAATGAGCTCCTTTTCATCCCTGTCTTTATTCACTATCTTCTTTTCACATAGCATAAATGATTTTAACCTTGGTTTCCAGTCACAGTCTTTCCTAATTCCAACCTCTTCCTTTTTATTATTTAAAAGGAAAAGTAAAATCTTTTGGAAAGCAAAAGTAAAGTGTGCTGCTTATATACAGTACCACACCATAGCACTTAAAGCATTCCCTGGGCTGTTTACAAATTAATTATGCAGGCTACACATTAACACACAGCCCCAGCAAGCTGGGTACTCATTTTACCTACCTCAGAAGGATAGAAGGCTGAGTTAACCTTGAGTTGGCTACCTGGGATTGAACCCCAGGCCATCAGCACAGTTTTGGCTGCAGTACAGCAGTTTAACCACTGCACCATGAGGTGCACAACAGTTTTGTAGAGCTTTTGGTCTGATACAGCTTTTCTTCCTCACTGCCTCACTCAAGGAAAGGGTTTGGAAATTAGAACATAATTTTTAGTCTGCATTCTGCAGAACAGGCATGGCAACATTAGTTTGTCCAAGAGATTAAAGGGTGTGTATCTTTTTCCATTTAACATATGGTACCTACTTACGCCTTTGCTTCACCATTTCATTAAGTCCAAAACAGCCCTTCAAAATATTTTGCTACAGAGGAACTATAGCCACATAACAGCTGTTCTTGCTTCTGTCTTCTGCTAAGGAACCATAGTACAGATCATGTGTTCACCTTTTGGAAACCTCTACCACTGGATAATTCTATATGAGGGAAATTTCTGTTGGAATTTGTGTGTAGAGTATGCATATTTAAACTCCCATTTTAAAAAGCCGGGAAATTAAATTCTTCAAAAACCCTTTGGTTAATTAATGTGGATATTGTGCTTCTGTACCCACAATTTAAAAAGCTAGGAAATGGCTCGATATCGCTGCACAAAATTGTGTCCATGTTGCCAGCAGGGGGGAAAAAAGAATGCCAAGTTTCACATAGCAAAGGGCAGCCTGAATATTGACAAGACCAATGGCAGCAGTCAAGATGATCTATAGCAGTGGTCTCCAACCTTGGGCCTCCAGATATTCTTGGACTTCAACTCACAGAACTCCTGGCCAGCAGAAGTGGTGGTGAAGGCTTCTGAGAGTTGTAGTCCAAGAACATCTGGAGGCCCAAGGTTGGGGACCACTGATCTACAGGATACTACCATTCTGCTCACTACCATTCACATGTTGAAAAGCAGCCATGACAATTGCTTTGTGTTTAGGTGAGAAGTTAACTGATGAAAAAAAGTCAGCTTCTGGGATTTTCCCTTGTGTAGTGTCACTTTGTGAATGGTAGTGAGCAGAACAGGGTATCCTTGACTGCTGTCATTGGTATTGTCAACATTCAGGCTGCCCCAAAGCTTGGCAGCCCTTTTCCTGCTGGCAACATGGGCACAATATTGAAGTGCAATATCCCACATTCATAAACCAGAGGGTTTTACAGAACTGAAGAACTCAGAATGTGAACTTATCTTACTTACAGGGCTTAACTGCATGATGCAGGAAGCAACACCCGCTTCCCAAATTCCTCTCTAGTTTAAACTTAATTCAAGTCAGAGTGTTTCTCTTCTTCTACTATTGCCCTGATTAAATGTTGCAGAATCTAGCATTCTGAACACAGAGGGGCCACCTAGCCCCACCCTCTGTATTACAACTTTCTTCAAACACACAGTGGTGAGTCTGATCAGGATAGGTTCCTTATCATGTGAGCACTCATTCAGCAGAGAATCTGAAAGCAAGGGAAAGGGTGCTATATCTAGTGATATAGACTGTAATGTCTCCTTCAAACTTCTTAGACAAAGGGTTCCCAGTTGCAAGGGACCTCATGAAGCTCATGCAGAAGGGTCCTAGAAAATCTGACTTCTTGCTTGCATGGAGAGTCTCCATGTTAGTAGGAGCATACTCTAGACTCATTGCTGATTGCATAAGGGAAATGACTAGTTGGAAAAAAAAACTGTTCACAGAAATGGTATTGGGGAAGATTCCTCATATTAGTAAAGAAAGGTCATTTTTGTTTTGGCCTGTGATTTCATCTAGTATATTACAGTAAGGCACTACAGGTGTGTTGGGCAGAATACTTACTTATGTATGCAAGTGCAAATATCAAATGGCAAAAATCTCAGGAATGAATTGCTGCTAGTTAAATTGTTCACACTTATTTTGCTAGTCATGCAACAAATCACATGACTGGGGAATGCAAACCTACTTATCTAAAACAATTTGCCACAGGGATTCATGCTTATTGAGTTACCCTGGCACATGGGAGCCTAGCCATTAATTCCATTTACAAAACCAAACGGAAGGAGAAAATCTTTTAAGCGTTTTTTGAAGATGGTATCAGCTACCTGTCCATCTGGTTTGGTTCCTTGCCCAAAGGAAGGAAACTGAGAGATCAATCAAACTATTTTAGGAGTCAGGAATAAAAGTATATCAGTCAAGGTGGAGAATGAATTCTCCCTAGAAAGGGCAGGAAAAGTTATTTTAATGTTTGATTTCACCAAAAATGACTTCAGCTTCAGAACAAGCTACAAAAATGGTGAAAAAGATGACAGTGCAAACACAGTGCCTCGGAGCAGTCCTTCATGTCTCAGAAGAGGCCATATTTCTGTTGCTTAAAGATGGTACATCAGCTTGGAAAGACCACATTTGCAGAAACAGAACATCTTCAGTGCCATAGTTTAGAGCAGGAGATGAGAAAGGAAGGCACAGTGCTGGCACATGCCATATTTTACCACAAGAGAAAAAGTGAAGTACACAATCCACCTTTCTCATCTGTATGACTAGCAAGTACAATATGGTCCTTTACAGGATAGGAAAAGTGTACCTATTTTACCTGATATGTACAAGTGAGAGAGAATTTTAATTTTGTTTGTTTTTTAAATACCTAAATTGACACATTTATTTTGCCAGCTGTCCATTTTCACAGAGCGCAAGAACTGTTTAACTGGAGGATTCCCTTTTCTGATCTCCAGCTTGCAGTTGAGCAAGCTTGCTACAGAAAATGCCTGTGGAAATTCCTTGACTCACGGCACTTGTTACACTACACACATACATAAACTTATATAACTTAAGGTTTAAGAAATTAAAATGAAGCAGTAATTCAAATCACGTGAAACTTGACAGTTCCCTCCATTACTAAAGCGCCTATTGATCCTGGATATCTAGAAAGGGAAAAACTTCACCCATTTGCTTCCTCTCCTCAGAGGTCCATGCTTCATTGTGTCAAAATAGGATGCTGATGAGGCACATCATGGTGGTAGTGGGCTGGTCAGTGAAGTCCTGCTCAACATATGAGTAGATATGATGGAGCTTTTGTTTTGTTTGTTTTGCTTACTTTTTGCTTATTCTAGCCCACTCAAGTAGGGAAAGACTGAGACACAGAGGTGGCTGAAAACACATTGCCTATTAACCTTTGCTCCCTCTTTTTGTCGATTAGGTATCAGCAGAAGCTGCTATATTACGTATGAAGAGTGAGATCCTTGTTTGCTTTCATTCCCAGGGCATTGGTCTGGCTATGTACGTATGTTTAGGAACATATGTAAATAGCCAGACCAATGTCTCTCCTAAAGATATACATTTAAAGGGCAGAAAACTCAAAACTATCTTCTGAAGTCCTGTTTAGTCGTTGACTCAATTCCCGTTAGTTAAGAAATCTCCACAGATATTAGTTGCTGCATGCCAAGTCATGCAGTTCAGTATACCACAAATAACGCCTATGAAAATTTCTTAACCTATTGCAATGTGTTTCCAAAAGGTACACCATTTATGTAACTGCACAACAGGATTTCAGCCAGTGCTTTTATCTCACAAAACATGCATGTTTGAGATCATGGTTACTGAAATGATCTTGCTGACATTCCTGCATTTGGTGGTCCAATGGTTTGGACTGGCATAACAAGAGTTTCTTCTTCTACTGAAGAAAACACAGCTGGATGACACTTACCTTCTACCTCTGTATCTATACGTGTACGGTAAATAGTTGAGGTAAGTGCAGCATCTGCTTTCATAGCACTGGCAATCGGTGTTCTCATCTGTACAGCATAAGCACTTGCAGTTCCGATTACTGGCACAGGAACAGCAGCACCAGCGACAATTGGGGGTTTCTGAGCATGAGCAGTGACAGCACTGGCATTTTGCATCTTCCGTATGTGGGCAGTAGCAACAGTCACAGTTCCTTTCATCACTAAACAGGAAACGCCAGCACGAGCAGCACCTGCCCGATGTTATGTTATTCAGAAATTGTCGAAGCTTTATGCAGAGATAGCAGCATTTACAGCCTGGGCAACATGGGCACGTCAAGCAACAGGCACAGCTCAGGGTAGACATGGGTGGGAAAATAAAATGTTGTCCTTTGGTCCTAGAATGCTGTGCTGGGGCAGGGCGATTGCGGCTACGCGGCAATTATCCTATAGCCTATTTTGGCCTGATGTTGTAAAAAGTCCTTTCTGGCTACTTGGAGAGGAAGGATGACGTCACAATGGATTTTGCCAATGTAACTGTGGCTTTCTTTGCTTATGAAACTAGTTGGTCGGTGGTAACATCACAAAATATGTCACAATGGCAGAGAAAAGGGAGATTTGTACATGGGTTTGGCAGTTAGCTGAACCACACAGGAGAAAAAGTTGAAACGCAGCAGCCATGTTCACATTAAGTTGATAGTTTATTTGTGCAAGCCATCAGCCAGAGCTTCATGAGATGAGCAGACCTTCTGCTCCCAGAGTTTATGTTAATGAAAGAAATGGCATGATGATGAGGGGGTCGGCATGCTCATTCTGATCTCTGGATTATAGTGCCTCAAATCTTCTTACATAATTTATGCCTCACATCATGGGCAGAAGTTGAGTTTTGGAAATTAGAAACATCCTATTTCTGTCCCACAACTTTTACAATTGTATCCAACTTCCATCAATCCCTTTCGTCACGTGGAAGCCACTGGAGCTGCAAGACAGAACAAAGAACTCTTTAATTACCTAAAATTGTCACTAATAGGTTATGTTTCTAGCAGCAGGAGATTTTCAGTAATTTAAAACTTCAACTATCCTTACTATGTCACCCATGGCTTTGTGTGATGAAAGAAATTATTTGGCAGTCAGAAAAGACATGAGAGAGAAATAAGTTTTCTGCACACCCAAAATTGCTCCCTGTTCTTGACGTCATTTTGCAACAGTCATGGTCATATGGGTGGTTTAGAAAAGACAAACTACTCTATTAGGTGAGAATGTCAAAACAATGCAGGAAGTATTGATTTTATTTACCATTTTAATAGAATGCTTGTTTAATTGATTTAAAATATTTGAATATTTACTGTTTTAAAATTTTGAATATTGCCTTTTTTATTATGTAAGCTGCTTCTGGTCCTTTTTAAGGAGAAAGGCAGGATAAAAAAATTTTAAATAATAAATAAATAAATGTGAGTTAAAAGGTGCAGTGCTTTATCCATGCTGATTTATAATTTATTTATTTATTTATTTATTTATTTATTTATTTATTTATTTATTTATTTATTTATTTATTTATTTATTTATTTGTTTATTTATTTGCTATTTAACTTGTATGCCGCCCACACTGCCCAAAGGTCTCAGGGCAACTTTAAGCAGTTTAACTACAGTTAAAAAGATAAAACAATTAAAATACAATTAAAATATATACTCTAAAAGTTGCTGTCAGGACCCACAGTTGATATTATTTCAACTCCTATGGACTGTTTGGTTCAACCCAATAAGCAGGAAAATCTTAAGAAGGGACTGTGATTCAGGCTTTCAGTTAAAAAGATCAGGAGAGCAAGATAGGCAGGAGCTGCTGTTCCAATGGAGGAGGAAAAGCCTCAGGATGGGGAGTAATGAGTCACAACTTTCTGTGGGGTCTGACTTAAGTCACACTGGCAACTTGACTTGACTCAGGGGTTTCAGGAGCAACTCGCAACTCAATTCGCAACTCGGACCCATTTGTCTGATTCGCATTGTTGAGTCTCTGTGGGCCTCCCTATCTGCCACCACTGACACCACTCACCACCACCCTTCAGAGTGACTCAAGACTCATACTTGGACTTGAGCCTTAGGCCCAAAGACTTGCCAATATCCCTGAAAAAGGCCTCACCATCTGGGTTTAGGTAGTAGAGTTTCAATATATTTGCGTCAGAGGGGCATTGGAAGAGTGAATCCACATAGTGATCTTAGGTATTTGCATTGGCAGTTGTATTTTATTTTAGGGTTTTAGAGGCTGTATATTTGGAGCCAATCCCTTTATGCTGTGGATGTCCTACCCTCGTTGACAAATATATCTGAGTCTTTGCTCTCATTTAGAGTCTCAAAAGGGCTCTTTATTTCTTCAAGAAACTCCTGGTCCGGTGCTTGTGGTGTACAACTTGTAGCGTTCAGTTTTGTTGTATCACTATTGTTGTTGTTTCATTAAAATATATACATTTTGGGGAGGTGAAGTTTGTGTTTACAATCCTCATTTGAAAGAGAGAGAAAGAGACCCATAGAACTGAGGGTGTTACACATCCATGGCTAGAAAACTGATATAATTTATCCTCTTCTTTTAAGCTAGAAACTGCAATATAACCTCCCTTGTGTGCTATGTCTGCAGCGTACTTTTAATTTATTTCCAGTGACCTGTTATGATGGTTTTGGATGGAAAGTGGCTTAGACTACTGTTGATTAACATTTCTATTCCTCTTTAAGTGATATTGAAGGATTAAATCATTCTAGCTGCCAGAAACAATGTATTAGCAACAGCTGCAGCCGAAATAACAGCGTTTTAGAGGACTTCTAGGACTGTTGTATGGTCCTGCTGAGTTTGAGATGCAGCTGTCACAGTTATGTTGCTATTGTTATGTGCCGTCAAGTCACTTCCAATTTATAGTGATCCTATGAAAGAGCAATCTCCTTGTGTCACAGTTATAGCCACCAATAATCACCTGTTACCTAGATGATTAGGTTGCTGGGTACGTTCTGTGGTTAAGATTCATTTCTGTATGCTAATTTCTAAAGTTATTCCCAGCTATCTATGGTTTTTAGATGAGTAGGTGTATGAGCAGTGTAGACAAATATAGTCTGGCCTTTGAGAGATCAGTGGCACTTTGAACAACAGCCTGAGGAACCCAGTTTCCCTCTGACACTTGTATTTGGAAAGTAAGGGACACACATTGAGTGAAAGGATCCACTCTCTGTTACTCTGTTAATAAACATGTTTATTGTGTGGGATTTAAATTGAAATATGCCAAGAGAATATATGGACCCGCCAGGTATGTTGTCTCCTTGGAAGACAGATTAGGGATGTGATGGAAGGATTGCCATCACTCATAAATCCCACTTATGTCTGTCCCTTTCATCTCATCCACAGGGGGAAAAATGGCACATCCAAGAGGAACTACAAAGAAGAAATGATACAGCCAAGAAAAACTACAAAGTCACATCAAACCTTGAAGCTTTGGGAAGGAAATTCAAGGACTTTAGGGCCCAGATAGTCTTCTCATTCATCGTACCAGTGCTCAGAAGAAAAAAAAGAAAGGGAAAGAAAAATACTCAAGGTAAACAACTAGCTACAAAGGCTATGCATAAAATGAGGAATTTGAATTTTGGGACCACAGGGCTATGCTTCCTGGAAGATAGGCTGCTGTCAAGTGATGGGATACACCTCACAAGGAATGGGAAGACATAGCATGAAGAACTTCATCAGGAGGGCTTTAAACTGAATTGAAAGAGGGAGAAAGATGTGAGTTCAGAAAAGATGCTTATATATAATAAGAGGAACAGACAGAGCAGCTCTAATGGAGCTCAATAGTAAACTTCATAAAAATTTAGGAAGGAAAGTGGGACACAAATCACATAAGTTCTAGTGACTATATGTGAATGGCAGGAGTATGAGAAACAAAAGAAGAACTGGAAATTTTAGTTCAGGAGTATATGATTTGTTAAGGATGAGTGAAACTTGGTGGGATAACTCGCATGACTGGAATACAGCAATTGAAGGATATAGTTTTTTTCCAAAAAGAACAGAAAAATAGAAAGAAAGGTGGAGTCACAATATATGTCAAAAATACATATTCTTGCACAGAAGTACAGTAGGATGAGCTTGGCTGTTAATACTAGAGCATCTAGATTTATATAACTGGGGCAAAAAACTAAAGAAAAGTAATAGTTGGAGTTTACTACTGACCATCTATGGCGCCCGCCCAGGTCATGAATATTAATGACACGTTGACTGGACCTCTGTCTTTAATACTGAATAACGTTGATGTAATCAACTGGTGGCAGCTGAACAAAACATAATTTGTGCCTTTGTTTGGTAAAACAACCAAGGGGCAGGTGGGAATGTGACACCTTCCAATCAAGGAGAAAATGTGGATGAAATCATTGTAAAACTAATTGCAATAATTTTAATGAGACATGATGTAATAGTTGTGGGAGATTTAAATTATCCTTATGACACAGACTCTTATGTCTGGGGAATAGCACTTGTCCATGGAAGCTTACAATAAAATGTAACAGATTTTAAGGTGCCACAACAGTTTTTTAGGTTTTTCTTCTTTATTTTTATTTTGTTTTTGCCTGCTATTCAGGAGGTTCAGGATGACTAGAGGAGGAATGATGTTGTCCCTTTCTTCAAAAAAGGGTCAAAAAGAGAAACCTGGGAACTACAGATCAGTCAGTCTAATCTCAATCCTAGGGAAAATTCTAGAGTGGATTATAAATATCAGGAGCATATTCCTGATGCTCTGTGAGCATCAGGAAAACAATGCAATAATAACTAGAATCCAACATGGATTTGTCAAGAACAAATCCTTCCAGACTAACCTCCCTGATAGATTGGTAACCTCCCTGATTGTGGGAATGCTGTACATATAATATACTTTGACTTCAGTAAAACCTTTGACAAAGTGCCCCATAATATTCTGATAAGCAAGATAACTGGGGGGTGGGGTGGGTAGAAATCTGGCTAGCTAGCTAGCCAGATAGATAGATAGATAGATAGATAGATGGATAGATGGATAGATGGATAGATAGATAGATAGATAGATAGATAGATAGATAGATAGATAGATAGATAGATAGATAGATAGATAGATAGATAGATAGATAGATAGATAGATAGATAGATAGATAGATAAACCCAGCTCTCTTGTGAGAATCTGAAAGGTTCTCATGAGGAAATCACATTGCCCTGACACGGGTTTCCCACGAAATAAAAAGTTATCTAAATAATGGACAACTTAGGTAAGGTGTCTCAAACTCAGTTTACCTGGGGGCCACTGGAGGCAGAGTCTGGGTGAGGTTGGGCCGCATCAGATTTTCCACCAAACGGAGCAAGAGCCCAAGGAAGCTGCCTAGGAGTTTCCTCAGCCCGGCTGGGGCTCCGAGGAGGAGGAGGAGGGAGGGCGCGAGCCTTTGTTGCCAGCCACGACCCCCCTGGCTCCTTCTTCACTACCACCACCAGCAGCAGCAGGACGAAGAAGGAGAGAAGGGACGGAGTGCCTGTGAACGCCTAGCAGGAAGGGAGGAGGGCACGACATAATTTTTTTTAAAAAAAACCCTCACAGAATCAGCTTGCCAAAGAAGAAAAGCCCCCATTGGTACCTGTGAAATTAAACAGAACAGGGCTGGGCCCCCACAGGTGTGCACAGGTGTGCATACACACACACACACACAAACACGGAGGTCTGGCAACCTTCCTCTGAGGACCCCCTCAAAAAAAGGTGCAGTCAGCAGCAGCAGTTACCCCCACCATGACAGAGGAGCAAACTTTGTGAGGCAAGCCCAGGCAGCCTCCAGAGTTGAGGCAGCTGAAGCAGGACAAGGAGGAGGAGGAAGCACCACCGGCTGGGCTGCTGCTGGGGGTGCCGAAAGAGAAAAAGAGCCTGAGAGCCGCTTCTCTGGAAGAGAAGGAGGCGGTGGCAGCTGCTGTTGGCGGCTTGGAAGCCCTCTTCGAGGACGGGCCAGGAGCGAACTGCACTCTCAGGCAGCGCTTGGGCACTTGGGGGAAAGGGCTGGCAGCGCACCTCGTTTGCCGGCTTTCCCCCAAGACAGCGCCACTTGCACCCTCCATCCAGAACTGCAGCCTGCCAGCTGGCAGACAGGCGGGTGGGCTGAAAGGCTACATTTCTGGATGGAGGATGCAAGTGGTGCTGTCTTGGGAGACAGCCGGCGAGCGAGGTGATGCTTCTTTTGACTCTTGACAGCAGAGGATGTGTGGGCACTTTGGGGGGGGCAGGCAAGGCAGGGGCCACAAACTATCATCCCGTGGGCCGCAAATGGCCCCGGTCTGCATGTTTGAGACCCCTGACTTAGGTCAAGTCTGCCCTTTGCCGCAGAGCCCACTCTAGAAATGAACTAAAGTGCTCAAAGGCAGCGCAAGAAACAGAACAACCCATGGGCAGAGCACTGTCCATATAAAAAAGGTCTTCAAATTGGAAACCTAACAACTCAGTCATTGGGAAGCACGGGCAGCAAACGGAAAACTGACTTAATGTCAGCCTTCCCAAGCTCTGCCCTGCTGCTGCAGGCGTGAACCATACGTATTCAGCATCAAAAGATGTGTACCTTACCGTACACAGCTCCTGTGAAATCATGTCATTGACAGATTCATCTTCAGGGTATGATAGATGGTGAATTAAACGGAACTCTCCTGGTGTCTTTTTAGGGATGACCCGCCAAAGGGGAGATACATCCATTTGGAACTGGAGGTTCCACAAAGGGACTGGCTACCCTTCCTTCAGCTACATCTTTTTGAATCTTCTGCCTCACGACGCCCTCCATACCTTTGATGGACTTTAAATTACTTGCTGAAATTGCAAATCTACTACCCTGGACAGGAATTCTGAATCCTCATGTATAGCCATTTGACAAATAACTAGTGGCTTCATGGTCAGGGTAAAGCTGCAGCCAGGCCTCCAGTACTGCCACGTTAATTGGACTGGGGCCCTTTTGAAGCTGGAGCTGCCTCCACTGTTGGTCTTTTTGGACCACCTCCATCTTTTCCTACACCTGCTCCAGGGTGACCTCAGAAACAGGATGTGGTACTGTGATTTCCCCCACATAAAGAGCACATGTGCCTGAATCTGGATGGCTTATGGTTGCAGACACCCTTTGCATTCAACTCCCAGCAAACTGGGTGGGGTTGAACCCCCTGGCTCACCGAACCATGGGGCGAGTTAAAGTTAGCTGATCTCTGAACCAAGTGTCCACTGTCAAAATGCTCATGGGGCGAGATGGGGTCATTAGCTGTAACCAGAGCTCCTGATGATGCACATCCCATAGCAACTGGGGGTTAATAGCAGCCCTCATCCTGAAACACTAGTCATAGAGCAAGCAGGGCCTGGAAAGTCCATATAAGCTCGGTAAATAAGGTCAAGATATTGCAAAAGGGTGAAGGCCCAGTCTGGGTATGCTTTAATTAGAGTGCCAGCATAAATTACGTAAGAAACCTGGCAACCAGTTAGCCCAACACCTGTCTGCCTTCTTCTTCTTGAAGCACTCCTTTTCTCTATCCTCCTCCTTGTTGCCTTTCTTCTCTTCAATCTTCTATTTAAAAGTTCGAATATGTTCATGTATTACCTTGCCAATTTTTTTCTATGTTGGCTGGTAAAAGATGGTCACCTAAAGGCAAGGATTGGTCGCCGCAAGGCAGTGCACTTCTGGCTACAGAGTTATACCCTGTGTTTGGGATCACAGGGTAATTGAACTGATGCGAAAAATTGGCAAAAGCAGGCCTTGGGCATGGTGAAAAACTCTGAGGATAGGGGGCCAACCAAGGCTTTGGAGCCGGAGGAGCCCCCCCCCAGAGTAGAAGGGCTAAGCCCTAAACTGTTAGGCAGAACACTAGCAACTGCTAGGAAACTTCCCAGTGGGGAGGCTACTCCCGAAGGCATATTCCTTTCACATGTTGTGTGAATTGTGTTGGTGCAGACCTACCTGGAAGAATGAGCACTGCACTAGCTGGTGTGGCTGCAGATAACTCATCCGCCCACTGGCTGGTAGCAGGGCTAGCAGCCTCCACTCCACTCTGCCTACTGAGGTGGCTGCTTAATCCTGCATCAAGGACCTTCTGAGCCAGATGCTCTCTAGACCACTCCATGGCACTGCCTCCTGAGCGCTTTCCTCTTCACTAACGGTGGGTTCAGACCTTGGGTCGCCTTGCATTGAAGAAGCCGCCCTGCCTCCCAAAGCTGCAGAACATTCATTTTTCAAAACAGCAATACGTGACATCATTACATCACCCAAATGTCTCAGCTCAGCCATTCTGTGCGCTTTTGACTCCCTGCTCAACCTCCTGGGGGTAGCAGTGCTAGCTGCCTCTCTAGCTAACACCCTCTTCCTTTCCAGCTCACTCAACTTAGCTAGCATAGTGCTATAATCAGGCCACTCTTCCTCGTTGGATGAAGAAAGTGCAGGAGTCACTCTGGCAGGAGTCTTAAGCGTCACTGGTCATTTTTACCACCCTGTCTCTTTTTTGATGCCATGTCAGCTAATTATCAGAAGGTATCAGTAACTGCTGTCAACAGCAGGCCAAATGACTTTATCTATCAACTTACTTTAAAATATTCGTATTCTATTTAACTTGTTTCTAACTCCTAATGTTATTTTATTTTATTTATCTATTTATTTAATAATATTTTGTTTGTTTGTCTGTTTTGTTTTGTTCTTTTTTTAAATTCTCTCTCTGGATATAATTAAGTAACATGCAGTTGCCTTGCAACCCAGCAGGGGGTGCTGCAAGAGGCAAGTGGACTGCTGCTTGTTTTTTTTTTCTTTTCTTTTTCTTAAATGGCATGCTCTGGTCCATGGGGTCACGAAGAGTCGGACAGGACTAAACGACTAAACGACGACGATGTATAATCCAACAAACCAGCCAGCAGGTGGCGCTACCCACCAATCAGGAAATGGCTCCCAATTAATTAATATAAGCCTTTTCTATCGTTCCCTCCTTTTTTAAAAAAAAAGTATAAAATGAGCCCCCAAAAACCAAGGAACAAAAGGAGGAGGAGGTGGGAGGGCAGTTGGGAAGGGAGGTAAAACAACAATGGCGCTTTAACCTTCTACTAATTAAATTCCCCTTAATAAATTATCTGATGAACTAAAGAGTGCAAATAATTAAATCTTAAAACACAAAATATAATCTCGAGCACCCTCTCCCCTACATCCCATGAGCTACTGAATATAAGGTAACTACCAGCCTCAAACAGAATAACTCAAGCAGCCAAGAAATAAGGAGGTGGATGGGGGGGCAGATCGACAAGGGAAAAAAACCCTCCTGCTCTCCAAAACAATAACACCCAACAAACAAGCAGATAAAAGGAAACTGAATATATAGAAATAAAGATTTAAACTTAGGAATCAGCTGAGAAGCACTGCTGATCGCTGCAGGAGGATGAAAGCCACGTGGACAAAAGCAAAACTGCTTGCCGTCTCTGATAGCACCCAGACTCCTTGCTGAAAAGGCAGCAGAAGAGACTGCTGAAGAGGGACCCAGCATATTTGAAGGCTCTGTCCCTCCTCCCATTGAAGGCTTCGTCACACCGTGATGCTTCTGTCTGCACGGGTGGGCAAAGCCTCCCCGAAATGGCAACCAGCACCATTTCAGACAGGTCAATGTCCAACACTATTCTACAGTTCTATGATATTATATAAGACTGTAATTTTCCATCAAAAACACATTGAAATATAAATACTGGAAGAAACACTAAATTAAAGAAACCCAATTTCTCTTGCTTTTCAGACTATTGATCCATTAATTTTTGAGTAAGGTATTTTTTTTTCAGTTTTGTCTGATGAATGATCTTGATGAATCATTCATATTTCATCCATTTTCATTGGTGTTCTTACATCCTCCCTAATTAAAAAAAAAGAGTGAAACATCCAACATTATAAAGGAAGCCACCAAACCCTGCAAAACAAGTTGCTGGTGACTTCATAACCACCATACATCTGTTATTAACAGGTAACAGTAGGAATAGAAATAGGAAGAACTCCCCCTGCCACCCAAAGTTTATGAAATTTTAATAGCAGCATGGCAAGCATGGGAGATTTGTGTTATTTCCAAAGGTGGAAGTGAACTGCTCAAAAAATATTTACCACCATTATATTTTCTCCTGCAATATTGCTATTAAAGCCTGAGGGACCACTACAGAAATGTTGCAACTCCAGTGAATAAAATAAATGTCATTATCATTGTTTAGTCGTTCAGTCGTGTCTGACTCTTTGTGACCCCATGGACCAGAGCACGCCAGGAGTTGTGTCAAATTCATGTCGGTTGCTTCGATGAAACTGTCCAACCATCTCGTCCTCTGTCGTCCCCTTCTCCTCTTGCCTTCGCAGTTTCCTAACATCAAGGTCTTTTCCAAGGAGTCTTCTCTTCTCATGAGACGGCCAAAGTACTGGAGCCTCAGCTTCAGGATCTGTCCTTCCAGTGAGCACTCAGGCTTGATTTCCTTTATAATGGATAGGTTTGATCTCCTTGCAGTCCAGGGGACTCTCAAGATCCTCCTCCAGCACCACAGTTCAAAAGCATCAATTCTTCGGCAGTCAGCTTTCTTTATGGTCCAGCTCTCACTTCCATACGTCACTACAGGAAAAACAATAGCTTTGACTATGCGGGCTTTTGTTGGCAAGGTGATGTCTTTGCCTTTTTAAAATGCTGTCAAGGTTTGTCATCGCTTTTCTCCCAAGAAGCAGGTGTCTTTTAATTTCGTGGCTGCTGTCTCCATCAGTAGTGATCATGGAGCCCAAGAAAGTAAAATCTGTCACTGCCTCCATAGCTTCCCCTTCTATTTGCCAGGAGGTGATGGGACCAGTGGCCATGATCTTAGTTTTTTTTATGTTGAGGTTCAGACCATTTTTTGCACCCCCTCTTTCACCCTCATTACAAGCTTCCTTAATTCCTCCTCACTTCCTGCCACCAGAGTGGTATCATCTGCATATCGGAGGTTGTTGATATTTCTTCCAGCAATCTTAATTCCGGCTTGGGATTCCTCCAGTCCAGCCTTTCACATGATGTATTCTACATATAAGTTAAATAAGCAGGGAGACAATATACAGCCTTGCCGTACTCCTTTCCCAATTTTGAACCAATCAGTTGTTCCATATCCAGTTCTAACTGTTGCTTCCTGTCCCACGTATAGGTTTCTGTAAATGTCATACAATGGAAAATGACTATGAATTCATCATAAGGTGCTCTCTGCAACTATGATAAAGATGAGGAAAGAACACATTCCCATGATGTCATCAAGCAGAGCTTTTCTAGAATTCTGGAGTCTTTTGTGACCTGACTAGTATTGCCAGGTGTAATAGAATTAGGCGAGGTATCAGGAAATGGCTATATTTTTCTGGATCTGAAGATGGAAAACAAATCTCAGTAAAAGTCTTACTGTAGGAGAAAGACATTTGAGATTTGAGTCAGGTGTCTGTAAAGTCTGGGCATCCCTTTTTACCAATTTTCACCTATTTCTGAGGCTCAGTGGCTCAACTTAGTGGTGCTGGGTGAGCTTCTTTCCCAATTCTTGCCTGTCCCACCTCTGCAAAAATAATAAGGAACCACTAATATGACATCACAGGAACCTAGTACCATGATGTCATAAGGATTTGCCCCCTAAACTCAAAATTGCATCCTGACATCTCAAGAAATGGGATGCTCATGGTGTGTCAACCCTAGATATGATCTAGCAGGAAATAAACCCAGAGTTGCAATAGATTGCAAGACACTGGGCAAGATACTTCAGCACCACTGGTTTCTGTACATGAATTGGCATTCTGACATATACACATGGCTACACCTGTGATAGCTTCCAATGCACTCTACACCAGTGGTCCCCAACCTTGGGCCTCCAGATGTTCTTGGACTTCAGCTCCCAGAAATCCTGGCCAGGAGAGGTGGTGTGAAGGCTTCTGGGAGTTGTAGTCCAGGAACATCTGGAGGGCCAAGGTTGGGGACCACTGCTCTATGCCACCTGCATTCTTTACTTTGGCAGCTGGAGGTAAGATAATAGCAGAAGATAGCTAGCCATTGGTGATTGCTTGTTTCTTTCTGCACAGTGAGAACTGATTTTATTTGAAGTCATCTATACATAAAATGGAAATTGCTAACCCAGACAGAATGGTACTCTTGTAATAATGCCACATTGAATGGTATCTCTTCAATTCTCAATGTGTCATTCTGATGTGTTCTTTTGATTGGTATTTA